AAGTGATAGAAACAAATTTGTTTTCAAATGTTTTAAATTTCAGTATTCTAAATTTAGTTATCCATTCATGTCCTTTTCTACTTCATAGACATTTTTCATTCCCACATTAATAAAAGTATCATGTTGAGATAATAGACTTTTCTCAAGTGCTGAAAAATTTTTCTTATTGATTACCGGTTTGTTCACACAAATTATAGACCATATTGATGTTAAATACACATACTTCAATCAACTCAAACAGAGACGTCTTTGTGTGCATTAATACCAGGATCACACCAAATATCATCTACCTAGAAGAGGTAATAGCTGAGAAGTGCTGGACAAAACAGATGTCCAGAGCTCCCATGTTTTCCCCAACTGATGTCAGTCCGTGAGGAATACTACCTTGAAATACTCCAATCTTGGATGCTGCTAAAACCACATTTTATATAAAGTATCTTTGACTGCATCCCCTCATAAAGAGCATGTTCAAGATGCTAAGGTGTCTACAAGTCATTTCAGTCATTTTCTCTGCGCACAAAACATGCATACACAAAAATATTTTTTTCTATGCATACGAAGTATAAGATTCACCACTGATTTCCTACAAATAAATATAGTCGACAGACATAAGTGTAGGCAAATACAACAATGAAAATCGCTAATCGACTCTAGAAGAAAAAAATTTGCATAACCATATTTACAGGCAAAGCATTACGCAAATATCATGAATTTGGTGAAAACAAAGAGTAAAACCATTTTACACAAAAAAGTTCCGTCGCTTCATGACTATCTAAGCAGAGAGGTAGAGAGAGAGATTCGGGAGTGGAACCAATGATATATATATATATATATATATATATATATATATATATATATATATATATATATCAGAGTAAGCTTTCCATTTGTGAAGCAGTAAGAGAATTAATTAAATTTCACTGGCAGTTTCTGAGGATTGATTGATTTCAACGTAGTATTCATCATGTACTGGAATCAATCAATCCTCACAAGATTCTAGACTGAATTACTATAGACAGCTCATTAGTGACATTCTTTGAAGTGGAATTATTAAAGTCCTAATGAGCTGTCACCTGTGGGTAGACCGGTTTAGATGTCGGAAGAAACGCCCACCGATGGTATTAGGTTTTGTCGCGCTACATTGACACAATTGGGAGAAGGTGGACCAGCAACTAAATGGTCACGTGCTTGCTGCGATACCCGACGGTCCTGAGTCCGATCCTCCACAGAGTCACGGGTGCACACTGCGGAAGTCTAATACCAGGATGAAACACTTTTCCAGTAACCTCAGATTTTTGATAGTCCCCTAACTGATGTCAGCCTGCAATGAACACTACCTTGAAACCAATTAAATCTTTGGCTATGACATCAATCCAATAAATGCAAACCTCGCCTAGTTTACTAGTCCACTAGTTACTAGCTCGTCCTAAGCCCGGATGACGAGGGAAGGATGGGCATAGGGCGAGCAACCATACTCGGTAAAACCGATCCAACCGCTAAAGAAACTTCAAAGCACAAAATATATATTCAAAATCTTTAAAGCACAAGACACTTAATAATTCAGAGTTGAAAAATCCCCTTATATGTACTACATACGCCTTCAGTTTCATTAGGGTGTGTATATCGTTTACGACTTCAGAATATTTCCATGAAAATATTGCTGTCACATTATGAAAGTCTATGCACTCACAAATAACAGTATTTGGGAATGTCTGGAAGCAATCAATTTGTTTTTAACTATCAACATGTTAAATCTAGGACCCGCATAATTTTGCAAACTGAAGATATCCTGAAATGATTGACCAAGTGTAGAAGGCGAATATATATATATATATATATATATATATATATATATATATATATATAAAACTTACTTGTCCTGCAGCTCCTCCAACAACTACTGTATTATCAGAAAGATAAATGAACTGTATAGCTACTCTACTATCGTCCATGAAAGGATCGAATACACCTGCTTGACGAAACGGAGGCCATGCATCACCATCATCATCAACCCCATTTGTATGATCCTGCAGTAAACACATGAATGGTAAAATTACTTTAAAAAATATGAGATCAGAAAGTTTATCAAAGAGATTTTCAAAACGTTTCGTATGAACCAACAGTTTCTAACTCTTCAACGCTAATAACGTATATTGTAAATGCTTAGCATCTCTTCACTCAATATGAATTTATAAAGATAGACGAGCACTGTCACAACAGGTCACTGCACAATATTTCAAGTAGTAATACTTAGCATCAGTAAATCTTGAACACAAAAGGTAAGAACAGAAAAGAGAAAAAAACCGAAATATTATCGGAAGTAATGGAAAGTTATACAACTACGAAAAAGAGACAAAGGGTAATATGTGACATTATTACTGAGATGAAGATAAATGAATGCACCTACATCATTGCTATCAAAGTCGAACGATGTCGCCTATAGCGTCAAAACACTTTTTTTTACTTTAATGAACTCTAGTCAGGTGTTCAATTCAATAAACAACTCAAATAGTATCGGATACTTCACGGAATGGTGCTATTTCTTGGTCTAACCAACCTTAGCTCTCATACAACTTAATCCAACTTCAAACAATATAGAGAATCGAAACAGATGGAGGGTAGAAATAGATAACACATATTTTAGAAACATCATTCAATGAGCTTTTACAAGCCAGTGCACTGGTTCACTTCATACAACCAAGGTTTTACGCTTGACATTAACGCTGCTTGCGTGGTTTCACTTTAAGCCCATATGCAACGAAAGTTAGTGCTGGGAATCTGAATCCTTTCCAGTTTCCAACTTTAATGGCTACGTTTCATAACCACGTATTAGAACAACGTGAACCGTGAAGCTGTAATACTACACTACTAATAGTCATTCAGATGTATAACCAGTACCATTTGAGGTGAAATTTGACAAAACATAATCGAATCATTCATGTCCGACGCAAGATCACAGTGATCACTAGGGCTTAAGCGAAATTCAAGGTAAGTAAAGCTGAGAACTCCTTTAACCAACTTATTCTCTGCCGTCATGACGAGAACCGCTGCACACCAATACTGCAGAAAAGAAATAGCATACAGCACAGGAGAAAGAGAACTCAAAAATCATCATTTCACCGCTCTATCTGGAAAACTCTGTAAATGATCAGCGTCTTCAAGAAGACCGCCGAAAACGACGGGTTACTGATGATCTGTGAAGACAGACAGCTATGTTGGATGAAAGACTTTGAGAGACATTTTAACTGGCCTACAGCCACGCTTCATTCGCACAAAATCCATTTCGAACCAGAAACGGTCGTTGATAGTGCTCCTCTAACTATGCTCAAAGATAACAAGGCTATCTCAAATCTGAATAGTGTAAAGCGGTAAAACATGATAGTTTGTCACCAGAGGCTTTCATGGATAGGAGCGGAAAATTAATGAATGGAGTAACTAACTAGCGTATGGAAATGAGATTAGTGTTATCAGATTGATCTGGATCGCTTATCATTTCAGATTATAAAAAATGTCTGGGTGTGAAGGGAGCACAAAGCAGAAATGAAATGCTGCCTATATATTTCTATTCAAACTCCTGCAGTCGAGAAACAGCTTATATGTCTGAAGTAACAGAAATCAGAAGTGTTCACCAAGGATATTCACTACCACACTTCTTGTTTAACTGTCATATACGTGCTACTACTGCATGTTACCGTTAACAAATCGAGCTTCTCACGAATGGATTTACTCTGAGGTTGACTGTGATAATACAAAAGGTATACATCTGCTGTGTGAAGACACTTAAAAATTGCCGAGAATTCCGAATACCATGAGAGAAAAATAGGTTATTTGGCATGCGCTTCCCAACTGTCAAGTGTAGAACTACGCTTCAAGGCCGGCCTGAATCGACTCCTTCTTTTAAGGATAGAGGGTGAAGTAGTCTGTTAAGTTGATCACTTCACTTATAAAGTTATAGCAATCCGAATGAGTTAGTTGTTGATGAAATCTTAACTAGAACTTAAACACCCGCTTACGTTTGTCAACTGCCATTAACCATGGTGCCCGTGAGATATCTGCATACTTACTCAAAAACTAAAACACTGTCTTGTATTCCACTCTGTCTCACTATACATGAATATGAGACATGCTCACTAAAAAGATAAAATGCGAATAGGTTACTAAGAATATTCCAGTACAGGTTTCTTTGCCTAATCGCTCATATATGGTGGAATCACTGGGTGAGCAATGTCCAGCCTAGGTCGATAGAACTACGCAAAGTAAGCTGGGGAGTTTGAGGAACTCAACCAATAGAGATAGTATGAAAATGTTTCCCCCGTTTGAAGCCAAAACGTGCATTGACATGAGATGATTGCTGAAGTAAGTATGAGCTGGAAGAAAACACAGCAACACAACGCTTCATCTACGCCCAGATGACTATAGTCCTTTCAAGTGGCTTTGTCGCAGTTTATACAAAATTTTGACGGATTTACCGGAAGTAGCCAAGTTTCCTGAGCTGATGCTAACTACTAACTAGTCAGTTTACACGAAAATCTTATGAAGAAATGAAATCATTTGAACGTTTCAGCTAGCAGAAAAATTACTCCATACCGTCAATCAAACCAAGTTACCTAACTTTCACTAAAACATACTACAAACGTTTTTATAATCTTCTTAGTTCCAGTCAAACTTCTTTTCACATTGCAGTTAAACAGCTATTGCTTCAAATAACTTGTTTCCAGATGTCACTGCAGTAATCAACGTGAACGTGATATTTTATTCATAATTTACTTTTACCTGAAACAAAGACTTGTTGCGATATGAGTACCAAGAAATCTATCGTAAAAAAACTGCGACTATGCCGCTGGAAAACGAAGATATTAAGAAGGTCTAGTCAGTAGATATCTACAGGATCTAGCATCGTTGAGTAATGGTCACACTTAGGTCATACATGTATGTCTTACAAACACAGCAAAACACCCATGTATCAGTGACAGAGTTTTAGTTAGCAAAGCTTGATAGCCGACCTGCAGGAGGGTGAAAACACTGAAAGCTAAAATGCGCAGTTTGCAGCGCGGTTTTAGGTATACTTCATATACTCATATAGTAACCAAGAACAGCAAAGTTGGGGAAATGTTAATCACGAGAAGCAAAAAAAGACTACAAAGTAAAATTGTACAAGGTTTACAATGATCAGGAGGAACTTGAATGATGACAGATTTGTGGAGGCGGTTGACACTCCAAAGCTTGCCACGCGGCGGAAGCACATACATGACAAAGCTAAATAAAGATACAGGACAAAATATTCCTGGCGGACAACGAAAAGCATAAACAACTCAAATGATGACCTCGAAAAGGTAACAAGAGATCACAGTTGCTCTAATGAAAAGCCTTAAAAAGAGTGATATAATTACCCGAAACCCCTTTATGTGAAACATATTAGGCGCAAAACGTTTTAATCGACAGAGTCAAAAAACCAACTTCAGGTCAAGTACAGGTAACTGTATCAAGAATCTAATGAGCGTACCAAAGCTAAAACTGTACCATACTGGTTTCCTTGAGCTCACTCTTTCCGAGTTTTAGTTAGACATCGAATGATTAAAGAACGTGAGGTCTAACACACTATTTACACCATCGTTCGCTGATTCCAATGTAGTTAGTTACCACAAGGGGATGTTTCTCCTTTCTGCAAAACTAACAAAATCAACAACTGATATCAAATATCATAGGATCTCAATGTCTGGTTACCACACCAGCCAACTAAAACAACACAATGGTCTAACCGATAAATCCACAACCAAAAACAAACCCTTAAGTAATTTAGCTTAAAACCACATCAGAATCATCCTACAGACGCCTTAGAAACCTACATATCACCCCCTTCCGCACTTAGTTACGCTCAGAGGTTGCAGGAATCCGTTCACATACACCCAATCATTCTGGAGAAACTCCTGCCATACACTAACCCTTTCCAACGTTACGTTTCCACAGGAGACTAAAGACGACACCAATCTTTGCCATAATGAGTGAAGTCGTCCCATTCAGATAACTGTCCACTCGCTTCCCACTTCAAAGTAGCCTTAGGATATTCATCATCGAGTTGCACTAGCAACCATCATCCATTCGCGGTATCTCTTCATTCAGGCATTTAGGCACAAACACAGAAGAGATCGTAGCATACTGCGATCACTGCTAAAACACGCACTACACAAGTAGCGCGAATCGCACATCGATCCTCTCCAACAATAATTGATAGGCACATGACTTACCTGTGCCCATGGGCTCAGCTGAGCTTGGTGGTGCCAATGTGACACATTCGTCTACCAGACCGACACCTGCTACCTTGACATCATAGTGGTCAAGCCTGCATAACACAATGGCCCAACGAACTGTACTAGTGGAACACTTATCTCGAGGTCCTACCATACCACGAGTCTGTTGGATCTTAGAAAAAAGAAGCAGCTACCGCTGTGTTGCATATTACCACCAAATGTTCGGCGTCTGAGGGTGAGAGAGTGACAGCAGCAAAGTGTTCCGTCAAAAATGACCAGCAGTGCCACTGTAATGCTATCTTCTCAATGCTAAGAGTGGGCATCAAAATAGCAAACTTCCCTCTACATTACAGGATACCAATGTCAGCGTTATGGGTCCATGGTCGGATTTTGAAAAACTTAATAAACTACCAAACTTCTAAAATCTATGTGTGATTGGTCCCAAGTAGATGTTCTTTCGGTTCTGCGATCATGCACTAGCCCCTCTTTTTCAGGAACGTTAAAAGAGGACTAGCTATCCACGATGTGGGCTGCCCATTGTGAACAATCCAGGCCAGAGGAAACGCTATTCCCAGTCTCCTAAGCCCCCGCTTTCGGTTCAAATTGCAAACTTCAACATCGGAACCCTATGCCAGACCGGACAACCGGGATCTCTTGCATAGAATACAGAGAGACAATGGTGAGTTCAACTATTCTTCTCAGTCTTCACTGCGCTGTTCACCGGAAGAGTGCATAAATGTTTGTCAACCGGTATCCAATCGAGTAGTGCGATTTCTATCTGGTGACCTAATCGAATACCTACACCCGAAAGACTGCGAGAACAAGTCGAAGAATCTCCAGAAACTTGAAATGAGATTTCTACAGTTTAACTATATTGACTCGGTGAGTTCTAATGAAGTATCTACACTTGGATGCTGTATACGGGTCCCACAAACATAAAGTCTATGACTCGCTAGAGTTCTGGCTATTGAATCTCGGTTCTCGACTTGACTAAGTCCGCTAACCTTGAAGAATTCCATAGGTACTTTGAAGCAGCTTCAGAGAACGTTGGATGTCATTTAGTGAAGTAGAATGGTTGGTCATCAAAGGAAAACAGTTTACTGTTATCATTTTTCATACGGTCATTAAGCAGTACAACTTCACCGTGTCAACTCCGCCATAACGTAAGATATTAACACCATGATGGTAACTGCATTCAGTCTTACTACTGTCCAACAGATTTTTCTGTTATGTTTGGACCTTAAGGAACGCCACTCAGGTCACCATTGATCGTTGGGTCGTTGCGACAGAATATCAAAGCTCGGAGAACACCAACCACCACAATCCTCAATCATGAACTACAAATCTTTTCTATCATTTCATAATTGTGCTACCCTCAGCTAAAATAGTGACATTCTTCACACAAAAGAAATACAGATGCTCTGAATACACTAGATTTAGTTATTTCGCAAGACTCACACCAGTGGGAGAGTTTACGATACTTTGACATTATGGTAATCCACATTCGACATCATGACCTCCAACTTCGGTTTATTAGGCTTGTGATTGTAGATTAAGAGTGGGTTTGTGGAAAAGTACTACTCACCAGCTGACTGACATCTTCAAAAAGAATGGCTGTATGTAATGTATAAATACGTCTAAGACACCCTCCAGCACTAAGTCGCCAAAAAGCAACAGAGCCATCTTCATGACCAGTAAGAAGAAGATCGTCTGTGTACAGAATATTTCCACCAAGGGAGCTTGTAGATAATCGAGACCCATTAATAAGAGCATGGCCACCCTGAATTGGCCAAGGAAGAGAAGACCAACCAACGCCTGCTGGATTATCTGCAATAGCCCCTCCACGACCAAAGCGCCCCTCAGGACCATAATAAGCACCAGCAGCTTCAAGGTTTGACAAAAATGTTGGGCTCACCTATTTCAAAAATTAAAGCGATAAGAGGAAAAATAAGTAATAATCTTGAAAAATAGAAAAGCACTTCATGTTATACAAAATAAAAATAGGACTTCGATTTTGCATGCAATGGCGATATTCACCGTAAGCTATCCCTTGAATCGTTAGTATGATGAAAAGTGTGGAAATTTCTAGGATCTACAGCCACAAACCGCTAAGGAATAGAAAACTCGAAAAAACACAAGTCTCAAACTGGCCGGTGGTGTATCAACAATCAAACCTTTACCACCCGCAAGATCCCGCAGCACATATTTACTTACCTTCATTGAATGACAGAACTTATGACACTGTGTCTCACTTAAACGAGTGCCGGATAATTACATTCCTCTGTTGAAGGCTCCATATTCGAACACTGGTGGACGTAGTAGTAGTGAGTTGCATTTGTAGATTGGTTCTCATCATAGCTGTTCAATCTCTCCAATCCTATTTGACTTTGTCAAAAATGTGATCAAGGTTTTGAAATTATTAAATTGTACAGCAAATGATTACTTAGCAGTCCTGGAGTAACCAGTTGACATCATCCTGTTAGGTGAAGAAAATGATAAGATGTAGAGTTTCTTAGATGACCTGAGTGGAAAACACCGAATATTCGGGATTCATTTCTAACATCTTAAATACACATTTTCGCTGCGGCATTAATCCGCTTTCGTACACATCCCAGCAACAGGAATGGAGTGCGGTGAGTGCAATTAGAGTTGGATCAGAGTTCATTCATAGTCAGAACTCTAGCATCGCGAGTCATAGACTTTATGTTTGTGGGACCCGTATACAGCATCCAAGTGTAGATACTTCATTAGAACTCACCGAGTCAATATAGTTAAACTGTAGAAATCTCATTTCAAGTTTCTGGAGATTCTTCGACTTGTTCTCGCAGTCTTTCGGGTGTAGGTATTCGATTAGGTCACCAGATAGAAATCGCACTACTCGATTGGATACCGGTTGACAAACATTTATGCACTCTTCCGGTGAACAGCGCAGTGAAGACTGAGAAGAATAGTTGAACTCACCATTGTCTCTTTGTATTCTATGCTTACGCACCCACTGACTTCAGTTCAGATGTAGTAATGGGTGAGTTCTACTGAAAATTATGTGGCCTCCTACTGAAAGCCAGACATTCAAATGTGGTTGTGTTAGCCAAAGACTTCAGTGGACAGGTAGAAGAGATAAGCCATACAGAAAGACACTTAGGTGGCACTTTCGCAACCCAAATGTAAACTGTCGCCCTAGGAATGGTCTTCAACGATGACCCGCCTAACAGTAGACAGTGAAGTGGTTGAGTGCGCTGAACACTTCGACTACCTGAGAAGTCGGATCAATCCTGGTGGCTCAATGGCCGACGAAATCTCCACACGGATACATAAGGTTCGGTTGGCTTTTGCCAACCTACACCATTCGTGACGCACCCGCGATATCCGATTGTCTGTTATGGACCGAGTGTACTGTACTGCAGTCAGCTCCGTTCTACTGTATGGCTGTGAAACATGGCCGTTAAAGGTAGAAGACATGAGAATGTTTCAGGTGTTTGACTACCGCTGCCTCGTAGTGTAGACCGTGTTTCGTGGTGTCACCATGTGAGTAACACAGAAGTCAGACGTAGAGCTTTAGACAGGAGATGGCAGATAGTTGGTGCGGTTGTGAACCTTCATCGACTGAGATGGTTGGGACACGTGTTGCGTATGCCTAGCCACCGTCTGCCTCTTCAGGATGTTGGTCGAAGTAGGTTCAAGCTGGAAAAAGGCTCGGAGTGAGCAGACTAAAGCATGACATCATTGCACAGTGACCTTGACTATCGTTTGAGCCATGTAGGGCGATGCAGGCTAGCTGGTTGGGGTCCGCGGGACAAGGGAAACCAGTTGTTGGAGACTCTAGGTGATATGACTCAGAACCGATGTCAGTGGCACGGATGTATACACACGTTATCCTCATCTTAACCGCTATTTTTAATCTCATCATTTTCTTATCCCTCCTTCCTCTACTTTATTACATTCTCCTCCTGTTGACCGGGTTTCCTTTTCTCCTTCATGTTCCATTTTGTTACTTGATGTGCTGATATGAGATGTAGCAACTTTGATCGTTACGCAGTAATGCCTGATGATGATGACTTCCGAAATCCTAGTAAGGGAAGGGGATTGTTGTGATAACCTGCAACAATTTTTCTGAGTCAACACTAATTTCAGACTTACAGAGAGACACTTTCTGACACGGTGCCTACCAAGCACATCAACCATTGGGTCATGGGTTTGAACTCCGATCCACCTACCGCCTACCGAGGTTTGGGCAGCCAGGTAGTATCAGTAGCCTTCACACAATAGGTGTGGCTCAATGCCCACCGAACGGGTGTGCACAAGGTGGCCGAGTGCGTTTCGTTCATCGAAATCGAAATACACTTGGCAACCACGTAGGCGATCGTGTTGTCAGCGCTGAAGCATATCTATTATGTTAGGATTAACGATAGTAACTGGTTTCCCATACGTCTATAGATGGAGCGGGGTCTTAACTCGTGACCCGCTGGTTGGAGGTCGAGTGCCTAGACCAACGACATACAAGGAAAACTAAAGTAGAATCTCGTACGCAAGTGCATCAGTTCAATGTGCAACATTTCACAGTTGCATACAACGAAAAAGGGGATAGAAAAAGACCGATATTAAAGTAGACGAAGTTGTATGAGAGAATAAACAATCTGAAGACAGTCATTAGTGCGAATATTCAGGCTTTTGAAGTAGTCAAAGAGTGAATACGTTTGCACCGTTGTGACCAATTTTCAACCATATCCCCAAGGTCCTTCAACCGTTGACTCTTATAGTTTCGGGGATATCAACCTGGTAGTCTACGGATCCCCCCACACGAGTAAGACCATCAGGCATAAACTTGATGAGCTAATGCTATATCTCTCTGGCCGCCGTTAGCCTTCTCCAACGTCTCCTTGACTTAAACTTCAAGATAGGTAGTGGGTCAGCATGTGCAAATCCTGTCTAGTGTTCCTAGGTCCCCGAGGGTTCACAACCTCATATTTCGAATGTCCTGTCTTACCTAGTATTCGCCTCACTTCTAGATAATTAGCATGGTGATTACACCATACGCGTACAGTGCTGTTTCAGTAACTGCCGGTTCGAGCTCATGAAGGTCCCACAGTAAGTGAAGTGGTCGACATATTCCACCACTTCACTCCCTATCATTGAATTACACGTAGCTGTAAACCAGTCTTGAAGAACCATCCTACATTTAACAAGTGCGAAATGCATGCTGAGATTTCTGCTCAAGGCGTTTATAACTCTTTATTTTGTCGGCATCTTCACCTAGTAGGACGACATTGTCTGCGTGCTCCAAATCTACCAGATATCCTCCACGGGTTAGATCACTCCGAATGGAATCAAGGAAAGTAAATTTCATGTCATTTACATTATTTAGAACGTGGTTGAACAGGAACGGTGACAGTGGACACCACTGGTTGTCGTCAATTCAGATGATAACTCTTTATAAACCTTTACACGGCTGCACGAGTTAGAGGAGAGAGCTTTGGTTAGCGTTACATGCTTGCTCGGTGTTCCCTTCACAACCAGATGGTGTCACAACACCCATCGGTCAACAGAGTCGAATGAGGTCTTCAGGTCAAGGAAAATAGAAAGGGTTGTCTCCCTGTGTTTCTAGAACCTGTCGAAGGGTGGAAATGTGGACAGTTCACCCTCGCCCGGGTTTGAAAACTGCTTGGTTTCTCGAGTTTGAATTAATCCTCGGATAACTATGAGCCCAAGGGTCTTTAACCCGATATTAGTCAAACTGATTCCCCTATAGTTTTCGCAAGGAGACTGTGCTCCTTTCTCATAGACCAGTCTGAAAGGACCACGTCCGATTATCATGCGCTACTCAGTACCCTCGTTGCTCTACCCATCCATCTTCCATCCTTAAAAACTTAAGGCGATAAACTCTCAGGTCCTGTTGCTTTGAAACGTTTCAGGTTCGATATAGCCTTCTCAATTTCTAGTAGATTTGGGGGACCAGCAACTACGTGTGATGCAGATTCGAGCTTGTTGCAAGGAATGATACTTGGCTGCGTTGGGGTGGGACGGCTGGTTATTTTTCAACGGAACTCTTCTCTTTTTTGGCTCTTGTAGCGTCGGACTCTAATCTTGGAGTGGGTATATTTTAAACCTAGAGGTAGCTGGTTTTTGTCTTAGCAATATGAAACAACCCTTTTCAGTGTAGTAGCCCTTCGAGGTAACAATTTTTCGTCTAGTGAAACTTGTTTGGGCCATTGTTTTACAAAGCTGACGACTATATCAAGATGGCAGTTGTGATTCACGAAGATATTATGTAGTAGGTCACTGTGTATAAAAATGTGATCAATGTATGTACAGCCTGAACAAAAACTGGTTTGCTTCTGCTGGGTGGGTTTTCTATACGTGATGTAAACCTAGGCAATATAACAGCAGAGAATATTTCAAACTCCATCAGTAGGAGACTGGTATTTCGATGATTGGGACAAACATAGTTCATTCTTCTTGGAGATGTGTACAATAACGACTTCGCTTCAAGATGATGAAACACTTTGAGTTTAACATACTTTCCGAAACAACGTAGTCCTTTCACTTTCTTCAGTCTCGTTTTATAAGCTGTAATAAATTCGGCTATAACATTTCAGGGCTTTATGGTGCATTAGAACCCAATGGCTGTTTAGCGAGTCAAGACAATATAAACAGACTGATTTCGGTCAGTGATGAGTAGAGTGAAAGAAAGACACAGAAGGATAAATGTGAAAAGGATAACGAAAAGACAGTATATAGTTGAACAGTAAAAATAACGGTGATGTGAATACAATGAATTGAATAATAGAGCAGAAAGTTCAAAGGAAGGTTTGGTAAGTGTTTTGTAGACTTCATTATTAATGCCGATTTTCAATTTGTATTTCGCTTCCGATATTGTCCACATGAATGTTTGATGCCTACCTTTTTTGAGTGTTAGCT